GTGGCTGTAGTCTAGACGCAGGTGAAGTTTTTTCGAAAAAAGGCTACTTTTTTCGAAAAAAACCCTGAGTCTGGACACAGGCTTGAGTAGTTGTAGCCATATTACTTCCCATCATATTGTATGTATGGTTGGGATTATGTTTTCTAATATGCATTACTTTACATTTATCAACATAAAATTTCATTTGCCATTTTGTTTTCCCAATCACTTAGTTTGGTGAGATCTTTTTGAAACTCTTCACAGTTTGTTTTGGTCTTAACTATCTTGAGCAGTTTGATATTACCTGTAAATTTTGCCACCTCACTATTTACCCTTTTCTCAGGATCATTTATAAATAAGTTGAATACGATGGGTCCCAGGACAGACCCTTGGGGGACCCCACTAGTTACCTGTCTCCACTTGGAAAACTTACAGTTTATTCCTACCCTTTATTTCCTGTCTTTTAACCAGTTCTCAATCTATGAAAGGACCTTCCCTCTTATCCCATGACAACTTACTTTACTTAAGAGCCTTTGGTGAGGGACCTTGTCAAAGGCTTTCTTGAAATCTAAGTACACTATATCCACTGGATCCCTCTTTTCCACATATTTGTTGACCCCCTCAAAGAACGCTAGCAGATTAGTAAGACATGATTTCCCTTTACAGAAACCATGTTGACTTTCCCCCAACAAATTAAATTCATCCATGTATCTGACAATTTTATTCTTTACTATAGTTTCAACTAATTTGCCCAGTAATGACGTTAGACTTACTGGTCTGTAATTGCCAGGATCACCTCTTAGAGCCCTTTTTAAATATTGGCATCATGTTAGCTATCTTCCAATCATTAGGTACGGAAGTAGATTTCAAGGACAGGTTACAAATCACAGTTAATAGTTCGGCAATTTCACAATGAAGTTCTTTCAGAACTCTTGGGTGGATGCCATCTGGTCCTGGTGACTTGTTACTGTTAAGTTTAGCAATTTGTTCCGAAACCTCTTCTAATGACACCTCAATTTGGGACAATTCCTCAAATTTGTCACCTAAAAAGAATTGCTCAAGTTTGGGAATCTCTCCAACATCCTCAGCTGTGAAGACCGTAGCAAGGAATTCATTTAGTTTCTCCGCTATGACTTTATCATCTTTGAGGTCTCCTTTAGCATCTCAATCATCCAAGGGCCCCACTGGTTGTTTTGCCAGCTTCCTGCTTCTGATATACTTAAAAAACATTTTATGATTACTTTTTGAGTTTTTGGCTAGCTGTTCCTCAAACTCCTTTTTGGATTTTCATATTATATTTTTACACTTAATTTCACAAAGTTTATGGTCCTGGCTATTTTCCTCACTAGGATTGGACTTCCACTTTTTAAAAGTTATCTTTTTATCTGTCACTGCTTCTTTTACCTGGTTGTTAAGCCATGGTGGTCCTTTTTTCATTCTCTTACTGTGTTTTTAATTCGTGTTTTTCATTTAAGTTGGGCCTCTATTGTGGTGTCTTTGAAAAGTTTCCATGCATCTTGCAGAGATTTTACTTTTGTCACCATACCTTTTAATTTCTGTTTAAGTAACTTCCTCGTTTTTGTGTAGTTCCCCTCTCTGAAATTAAATGCCATGGTGTTGGGCTGCTGAGGTGTTTTTCCTACCACAGGGATGTAAAATTTTATTACATTATGGTCACTATTTCCAAGCGGGCCAGTTATATTTACCTCTTGAACCAGATCCTGGGCTCCACTTAGGACTACATCTAGAATCGTCTCTCCCCTTGTGGGTTCCAGAACCAGTTGCTCCAAGAAGCAGTCATTTAACATATCAAGAAATTTTATCTCTGCATCCCATCCTGAGGTGATGTGTACCCAGTCAATATGAGGATATTGAAATCCCCCACTATTATCGAATTTTATAATTTGATAGCCTCTCTAGTCTCCCTTAACATTTCATAGTCACTATCACTATCTTGCCTAGGTGGTCAATAATATATCCCTACTGCTATATTCTTATTATTGAAGCATGGAATTACTATCCATAGAGATTCTATGGAACATTTTGGCTCATTTAAGATTTTTACTTCATTTGATTCTACAATTTCTTTCACGTATAGTGCTACTCCCTCACCAGCATGACCTGTTCTGTTCTTCCAATATATTTTGTATCCTGGTATGATTGTGTCCCATTGACTGATCTCATTCCACCAAGTTTCCGTGATGCATATTATATCAATATCCTTCTTTAAAACTAGGCACTACTGTTCACCCATTTTACTATTTAGACTTCTAGTATTTGTGTATAAGCACTTTAATAATTTGTCACTATTTATCTGTCTGCCATTTTCCGATGTGTTAGACTCTTTTTCATTTGATTGTGTTTCATCTGATCTGACCCATACTTCCATCCACTCCTCCTGACTAGAACATAGAGCATCTCTGTTAATAGACCCTCCCCTAATAGATGTCTCTGTCTGATCCATGTGCTCCTCCAAAGTTGTTTGTTTTCCCCCAGTCCTTAGTTTAAAAACTGCTCTACAACCTATTTAATGTTAAGTGCCAGCAGTCTGGTTCCATTTTGGTTTACGTGGAGCCCATACTTCCTGTATAGGCTCCCCCATGCCAAAAGATTTCCCAGTTCCTAATAAATCTAAACCCCTCCTCTCTATACCATTGTCTCATCTCTGCCTGCCTACCCGTGGGTCTGGAAGCATTTCAGAGAACGCTACCATAGAGGTCCTGGATTTCAATCTCTTTCCTAGCAACCTAAATTTGGCCTCCAGAATCTCTCTCCTACCCTTCCCTATGTCATTGGTACCTACATGTACCATGACCACCTGCTCCTCCCCAGCACTACACATAAGTCTATCAAGATGTCTTGAGAAATCCACAACCTTCACACCAGGCAGGCAAGTCATCATACGGTTCTCCCAGTCATCACAAACCCAGCTATCTATGTTTCTAATGATCAAATCCCCCATTACTAAAGCCTGCCTTTTCCTAACGACTGGAGTTCCCTCCCCCGGAGATGTATCCTCAGTGCGAGAGGACACCATAACATCCTATGGAATGAGGGTCCCAAGTATGTGCTCATTTCCTTCTGCTCCAGCTGAATGTTCTCCTTCCCTGAGCCTTTCATCCTCCTTAATATCACAGGGGCTGTCTGACCAGAGGTGGGACAGTTCTACAGTGTCCCAGAAAGCCTCATCTACATTCCTCTTGGCCTCTCTTAGCTCCTCTATTTCAGACACCCTGGACTCCAAAGCTCATACGCGGTCTCTGAGGGCCAGGAGCTCCTTGCACCAAATGCACACATACACCACCTGTCCATAGGGCAGGTAGTCATCATACATGCTATATTGAGTGCATTAAACAGGATAGCCCTCACTCTGTTACAGCAACTTAGCTTATTGATAGGGTTTTTATTTAAATCAGGAAGTTTTGTTTTTAGTTTAGGTTAAAAATTTTAAAGAATGGCAAGTGTACCTCACCCCCTTCCAACTCCCCTTCAAAACTCCCTGTTAGCTGCCCCGTTGGCAAAGCTCCCTGGTCGCTTACTCACGGGCTTTATAAAGCCCTGGCTTTCCTGATAGCCCCACCCCCTGGCTAAGGCTTAACCAATGAACAGAGGGTTCTAGATTTTAAATCCTTGTTAAGAAGCTCACAGCTTCCAACTGCCGGCCACAGCACACGGCCCTTCAAACAAACAGCTTAGCACTTGAATCTCCAAAGAAACAGAGACAGACAGACACAAGTTCAGCACAGAGTTTCTTTCAAGCAACTAGCAAGTTACCCCCAAACACAAACTACAGACAGCCACTTATCTCAAAGGTCCCGTATTCTCTCCTTCGTCACCTGGAGTACCCCCCTCTCCAAACTCCTTGTTAGCTGCCCCTGTTCACAAAGTTCCTAATGCACACTAAGAGCTGTTTCCCTGAAGAGAGTAAGACTCAGACAGGAAGCAGTTTTCATACTCACATCTCTCAGCTTCTTGTCAGAAAGTTCTCTGCCCATAAAGCTCTCTTGGCTTTCTCTCAGGGTGTTTCTCTTACCTCATAGCACAGGAGTCTCAGACTCACGGCCTGCCAGCCATCTATGGCTTGAGCAGTTCCACAATCCAGCCCGCATGCAGCTTCCAGCATGTGAGTCCCTGCCGCCCTGAGAGGTGTGTGTCCATACCCTTCCCCAAACCCAGTTCCTGCTCTGCCCCCACCCTGCTTCTTCCAGCCCCTGCTCTGCCCTCTCCCTGCCCTCCCTATTGTACCCTTTCTCTCATCTCTCAAGGGATGCAGCCTTGGGGATTACCGGTGTAGGGTGGCTGCAGGAGTCAGGCCCCTCAAAACTTCACTTCCCAACTCCAATAAAACAGCAAAAAATGACTGCTACTCAAGTGATCAGAGATTTGACTCCAGACTTTCCAGACTACTTGTGTGACTCTTGGGCTGTGTCTAGACTGCATCCCTTTTCCGTAAAATGGATGCAAATTAGATACAGCGCAATTGCAAATGAAGCGGGGATTTAAATCTTCCCTGCTTCATTTGCATAAACATGGCTGCTGCTTTTTTCCGGCTCAGGGCTTTGCCGGCAAAAAGCACCAGTCTAGACGGGGATAATAAAGCCTTTTCCGAAAGATCCCTTATTCCTCTTAAAATCAGGAAGGGATGCAGTCTAGACACAGCCTTGGTGATTTAACATGCCTGTTCCTTGCTTTCCCATCCTATGGAGTTTACTTGCCTTCATTCATATTGTAAAGCTAAATGCATCAGTGTTTGCAAAGCACTTTGAAATGTTTGGATGGAAATCAGTGTAGAAGTGCAAAGTGATATTATAAACTAAATATTACAGAGCAGTGTGGGGCAAGGGTTTATAATTAGAGGCACAATTCTCCTTTTTCCTAAGATTGGAGGAGACAAGCATGATGACCTTTGATATCCTCCCGGCCCCCACATCTATAGTTTCCTGGTCCAGCAATTCATTCTTCCCCGACTCTTAAATCAATCCTGTCCCTATCTTCACCTTTTCCGCCTCCCCCATCCTTACCTCTGCAGCTCCTGGGGTTCTTTACACCCCATTCTCAGGTCCGGAAGGGGCAGCAACCAGGGTCCTCTTGCCCCATTTCCAGGGCTGTGTGTTGCTGGGAGGAAGAAAGGAGAGGAGCAGAGAAGCCATTCCTGTTGCTCATGGGAGGCGTAAGAGGAAGCAGGTCTACCCTTGAGCTGGTTGTGTCTTTCTGCTTCTTGCTCCCCACCACCTCCCTGTGAGAATGGTGTTGGGTTGCAGAGGACAGCAGGAGAGAACTCAGCCTACTTCCTGGAGCAGTTTCATCCTAGCAAGTGGACAGGTGGGGAAGAAGATGGGATTTTTCCCCCAGGTGGGACTGAAATGTATGCCCTGAATGATCCAGCTCACAGCTTAGAAAACTCTTCTCCTGGATCTGTGGCCCTATAAACACTAAAGCAGAGAGACAACAACCAGTGTCAAACTGCCATTCCAACCCCATCCCTCTCCCCGCCTATGTCTTTGGATCTCTGAGTGTGGGCACCTTTCATCCCAAGTATTTGTAATGCAGGAATGGGGTGAGGGCCTGGGAGGCCAAACCTAATGTTGGTGAAATAGTTGAGGATTGACTATTGAGCCACAGCCTAGCTGCACTGGTCCACATACTCAGTTGGGTGGATCTGGCCTTAACTGCCCTATTCCTGCTCAGCTACCTATTCGAGGTATGCTCTCAACCTCTGATCATAGACAGAGAGCAGGTATCTTTTAATATAAAGACAGAAGAGACCATTATATCACCTAGTCTGACCACCTGCAAGTCACAAGCCATTCATTTCCACCCAGTTACTCCTTTATGGAGCCTAATAACTTGTGCAATGTCTACTCTGTTTTCACACCTCCGATTCCCTGTAGCTAGGCTAGATAGACGCTTGGTTAAGCCTCCTTTTCCCTTGACTCCTACACAGAGCTCACCTGCTCTGACTTAATATAGGCTTGGTGTCTTGGCGACATTTTAGTCTTCTTTCTCCTCCTATTTCCCTGAAGATATGAAGGCGAGACAAGACTCTCTCTCTCTCTCCCTCTCTCTCAAAGCTCTACCAAGTTTGGCTGTTTCTCCCTGCATTCAGATTTAAAACTAGCATGTCAGGTTGTGAAGAATGAAGACAAGTTGTCCTATATTCCTGAGGAAAAACTGATGTTTGATGCCAAACTCTGCTCTCACCCTTATCTCTATGGTTTCATTTCTTGACACTCACCCTATGCTCCTTTCAGTCTCCTTATGAATCCCACACTTCCAGTCTCCTTTTGTCTTCCTGTTCATGCAGTTATCCTCTTGCCTTCTTTCATGCTACTGTGTATTCCTTGGGACCCTGTTACAATGAACTAGAAGTCCATCCTCTCTCTTCAAGGGAATGGTGTAAAACTGACCTCCTCTGGGTTTCCTAGTGGATTTGGGATTGTCTTTTAACTTAGACAATAACATCCTCATGACAGAGATTGTCATGTTCTGTATCTTGTTACTTGCACAAATTAATAACAATAATAGATATCTTAGACTGAGCATTTCCTGACGGTTTACAGAAACTGTTGGGAGAAATGAGCTTTTAATGTCTCTCTCTTTCTTTCCATACATTCTCTTGCGTTAAAACTTTGTTCCAAACTCACTTGCATGACACCTTTCCTAAGTATCCTGGACGTTTGACAACCTCAGTCTTTTTTCCTCTGTTACTGACACTTGACATCGCCTGGAATATAGACAAGTTTTTGTTATTTCTCATCCTCAATCATTCTTGGTCATAAATTACACTGATTCTCAGCACTTCCAAGATATTAGTAATAGAAAGAGCTTTGGCATTTAAAAAATGGTATTTAGATCCCAAGATAAACCTGGCGGAACATTGCTGGGCTACCTTTCCAAATGTTTGCAAGATATTCTTGGCTTGCTGCATATTACATAACAGAGTCATTACACATGGAGTGTCTTTTGAAAGAAAGGCAGGGATTGTTGTCAAATCTCAATGATGAATGAACTGACCGATGAGATACATTTGCAGAAAGAACAAACCAAGTCTCTTCAAAAGTAGTATCAGAGTTACTTTGGGAATGGCAACACTTTTTAAGATAAGTAAAAATAAATGTCCTACATTTTTTCCCTTAGAATGATTCCTTGTTTCAAAACAAAAGAAATGCTGTTTACATTTTTCTCTATCTGCTTTTCAGGGGTGCCCCCAGATGTTTCTCACGTGGTATGCCCATCTGAACCACTCAGACTTAAAATGTTGTGGTGGAGTCACTATCGGACCAAATCACAATGAGTGGCGTTCTGACCTAGCCTCAATTGGTGGGCTTGTGACAAATTGCCCCTACCCGTACATAATATGCATACCTCTTCGTAAGATAGATCGTAATGAGTAACTGAAGCCGTCTTCCTTTATCTCTGAGTGTGCCAAAGCCAATCACAGAGCTAAGTCAATGCAGCCAAGTTACTTCCTTGCATATATGTACAAGATGAATGGAGAACTACTGCAAAGGGAACCTGAGAGCAGCTCATCAAGAAAAGAGCTAGTCACTTTTCCATTCCCAACGTCAATAACAGCGTTCAGTCTAGGTCCCAAGCAATGTACGATGGCGAGATGATTTGGTGAGTTTGAGTACACATCTTGCTGAGTAAAAATGTGTTTACTCTTTGCTGAGTAAAAATGTTGACTAAATTTATATTTAGTCCGTTCACTACTGAAAGCTTTGCAAACAAAAGGTCCAAATAATAGTTTTTTGTTCTAGCATTGTGAAAGACTACCACGGATATCTATGGGAGCTTTGTCCAAGGAACAACGGCAGAAGAAAAGGACCATAACATTCTGTCTCTCACTCATATTTCAGACTAAATACTACAACATGCAGTGGGCTTTTTGGCTGCACAAGCACTGCAGAATCAGGTGCAAAATGAACCCCTCTCCAGCCTTTCTTGCATGGCACTCACACATTCTTCTCTAATGTCCGAGTTCAGTAAAAACTGTGGAATGACTTCCCATTACACTCTTGAAATTCCTGGAGATTTTAAGCCATCTCCTTGTTTGTGCAGCTACAATCCCAAAACATTCTGAGTAAAGTTTATAATAAGCCCCAGGTGCAAATCTGCCCCAATGGACATCAGTGGCAAAACTCCCATTACGTAAGAACAGCCATACTGGGTCAGACCAAAGGTCTATCTAGCCCAGCATCCTGTCTGCCGACAGTGGCCAATAGCAAATGCTCCAGTGGCAGGGAACACCACAAGTAATCCCCACGTGTTCCCTCTCCTGTCACTCATTTCCAGACAAACAGAAGGTAGGGACACCATTCCTACCCATACTGGCTAATAACTATTGATGGACCTAATCACCATGAATCTATCTTGCTCTTTTTGTGAACTGTGTTAAAGTCCTAATCTTCACCATATCCTCTGGCAAGGAGTGCCACAGGTTGACTGTCTGCTGAGTGAAGAAAAATTTCCTTCTGTTTCTTTCAAACCAGCTGCCTATTAATTTCATTTGGTGACCCCCTAGTTCTTATAGTGTGGAAATAAGTAAATAAGTTGAAACAATAGTAAAGAATACAATTGTCAGACATGTAGAAGAACATAATTTGTTGGGGAAAAATCAACATTTTTTCTGTAAATGGAACTCATCTCTTACTAATATATTAGAGTTCTTTGAAGGGGTTAACAAACATGTGGACAAGGGGGATCCAGTAGAGATAGTATACTTAGATTTCCAGAAAGCTTTTGACAAGGTCCCTCACCAAAGGCTCTTGTGTCAATTAGGTTGTTGTGGGATAAGAGGGAAGCGCATTTCATGGATTGAGAACTGGTTAAAAGACAGGAAACAATGGGTAGGAATAAATGGTAAATTTTCAGAATGGAGAGGTATAACTAGTGGTGTTCCCCAACGGTCAGTACTAGGACCAATCCTATTCAACCTATTCATAAATGATCTAGAGAAAGGGGTAAGCAGTGATGTGGCAAAATTTGCGGACGATACTGAACAGATCAAGATAGTCAAGACAAAAGCAGACTGTGAAGAACTTCAAAAAGAGCTCACCAAACTGAGTGATTGGGCAATAAAATGGCAAATGATATTTAATGTGGGTAAGTGTAAAGTAATGCACATTGGAAAACATAATCCGAACTATACATACAATATGACGGGGGCTAATTTAGCTACAACTAATCAGTAAAGAGATCTTGTAGCTATCATGGATAGTTCTCTGAAAAAAGTCCACACAGTGTACAGCTGCAGTCAAAAAAACAAATAGGATGCTAGGAATTATTAAAAAAGAGATAGAAAATAAGATGAAGAATATCTTACTGCCCCTATATAAAACTATAGTATGCCCACATCTTGAATACTGTGTACAGATGTGGTCTCCTCACCTCAAAAAAGATATTTTAGCATTAGAAAAGGTTCAGAAAAGAGCAACTAAAATGATTAGGGGTATGGAATGGGTCTCATATGAGGCGAGGCTAAAGAGACTGGGACTTTTCAGTTTAGAAAAGAGGAGACTGAGGTGGGATATAATAGAGGTATATAAAATCATGAGAGCTGTGGAGAGGGTGAATAAAAAGTTATTTACTGTTCCCATAATATAAGAACTAGAGGACACCAAGGCTACGTCTAGACTACACCTCTCTGTCGACAGAGGGATGTAGATTAGGCACATTGAAAATTGCTAATGAGATAGGGATTTAAATATCCCATGCTTCATTAGCATAAACATGGCATTTTTTTTAAATGCAGCTTTTTCGAAAAAATGGCAGTCTAGATGTGGATCTGTTGAAAATAAACCCTTTTTGACAGATCCTGTAAACCTCATGTTTTGAGGAATACAAGATCTATCAAAAAAGGGTTTATTTATGACAGATCCGCGACTAGACTGCCGAGATTTTTCCGAAAAAGCTCCATTTTGAAAAAAAGTGGTGGCCATGTTTATGCTAATAAGGCACAGGATATTTAAACCCATGCTTCATTAGCAATTTTGACGTGCCTAATATATATATCTCTGTTGACAGAGAGGTGTAGTCTAGACACAGCTCAAATGAAATTAATGGGTAGCAAGTTTAAAGCTAATAAAATAAAGTTCTTCTTCACACAGCGCACAGTCAACCTGTGGAACTCCTTGCAAGAAGAGGCTGTGAAGGCTAGGACTATAACAAAGGTTTTAAAAGAGCTAGATAAATTCATGGAGGTTAGGTCCATAAAAGGCTATTATCCAGGTGATAAGGAATAGTGCTCCTGACCTATGTTTGTCAAAGACTGGAGAAGGATGGCAGGAGACAAATTGCTTGATCATTGTCTTCGGTCCACCCCTCTCTGGGTCACCTGGCACTGGCCACTGTTGGCAGACAGGATACTGGGCTAGATGGACCTTTGGTCTGACCCAGTACGGCCATTCTTATGTTCTTAACTTTTCCTTATTCACTCTTTTCACACCAGTCATGACTTTGTAGACCCCAGACTCCTCTTTTTTACGATGAGAACTCCCATCTTTTTAATCTCTGTTCATATGGGACCCGTTCCAAACCCCTAATAATTTTGTTGCCCTTTTCTGAATCTTGCTCACTGAGTATTGGAACAAATTGCCAAGGAATGTGGAGAATTCTCCATCACAGGGCATCTCTAAACCAAGACTGAATGTCTTTCCATGAGAGACGTTCAGTTCCACAACAAGTTATTGGACTTCATTTCGGAATCTTTGGGTAAAATTCTTTGGCCTGTGTTCCACCAGAAGCCAAATTATAATAATAATTCCATCTCACCTTAAAAGCTATGAAAACACGACTGAGCTCTGCCTCCATCCAGGAAAGCTATGAGTCAGGAAAATATGTAGGTGTCTTGGTGGATAATCATCTGAACCTGAGCTCCTAGTGCAACACTGTAGTCAAAACGGATGGTGCAATCCTTAGAGGCATAAACAGGGTAGCAGGAGAAAATAGAATTAGAAAGGTCATGTTGCCCTGTATTTGGTGCTAGTATGACTGTGCCTAGGATACTGTGTCCAGTTCTGACGTCTGCCATTCAAGAAGGAGGCTGATAAATTGGGGAGGGTTCAATGAAGAGCCACAAGACTGATTAATGCATTAATAACCATGTCCTATAGCAGGAGTAGGGAACTTTTTTGGGGTTCCCTTTTTTGGCCTCTGACCCACAGAAAATCAGTTGAGGGTCGCACACAAGTGAGAAGCAAAAAAGATAAAAACAAACGTTCTCTGACGTGGCCTCCAACTGAGGAGGAGAAAGACACTCCCCACATTACACTTGAATGCCAGAGCCTAAGGGGGGGCCCAGGCTGGCAGATTTTGAGTGTTCCAGCCCCATGGTAGGACAGTGGCAGGCTGGAGCATCAACACATGCTCTCCAATGCTGGAGGGGAGCTCTAAGCCTTGGGGACCGGATCCAGGCAAGCCGAGGGCTGCATCCGGCTCCTGGGCCATAGGTTCCCCACCCCTGCCCTATAGTGACATAGGTTGGACCTCCCTGTTTCAGCACCTTCTGGACCTGACTGGATGAAAGATTTTGCCAGACCAAGATAAGTCATTTCTGGCCCCACCCTTTGCCTTGCTACCCTACCAGCTTCCCTGGCAGCCCACTCGGGTCATGCACCAGGCTCCCATTCCCTCCCCCCACACACATTGAGCCGGCCTCCTGGACCTCCCGCCATGCATCGCACCAGGCTTCCAACCCCTATACCACCACCACCCCGCAGCATGCCAGGACTTTCTGATCTTGGTACATCCATGGTCCTGCCAGACCACGGATATTAATGGAACACAGAGTCCCAGTTTATAGAGGTGCAACCTGTAATATTGCAGAGGTCATATCTATTTAGCTAAAAAAGAGAAAGTTAAGGTATGACTTGAGTAGGCTGTATGTACCTACGTGGACAACTAGTATTTGGCTCTTCAAAGTATAACACAATCCAGTGTCTAGAAGCTGAAGGTAGACAAATTCAGATTGTTGAATGAGGCAAAAATGAGGATAATTAACAATTGGAACAGTTTACCAAGACTTGATTGATTCTTCATTACTGGGAATTTTTAAAATAACAGTTGGATTTAAAATATATATGCTCTAGTTCAAAAGAAATTATTTTGGAAAAGTCCTATGGTCCGTGTCCTATGTGATGTAACCTAGATGATCACAGTGACCCCATCTGGCATGGGAATCCAGGAATCTAAATAGCTTGTCCATTTTAAAAAAGATTTCTTTTATTTCCTCAGAGGGGTTTCTCACCACTTTGTTCCCATTCCCCTGCTGGAAGACAAACCTAAAGCTGGTGGAATTGCTGAATGGCGAATTAAGATTTGTTCGACTCTGCGACTCAACTTGGAGCCATGTGTGGCTGTCTCCTTTCCCTGCCCCCCACATGACTTGACAACACTTGTTGTGAGAGGGGGCAGAAGAAACTTCTTTGGGAAATGGCTGGTGTATTTGGTGGGTTGGGCCAGTTTCGGATGGCTGTGGGTAGTGGGTTTCACTCCACCAGGACTCCTCCTTGTGGCTGGATCTGGACCCTTCCATCACTTATTCATCCTACAGCTCAGCTTCCTTTCCTGGATTTGGGGGGTTTCTCTTTGTGACTCAGCCCTAAAGCCAAGGTCACTGTATAGTTTTTCCTCCTTTGGGGTATGAAAGTCATTTGGGACCATCCACACCTGGTTCCAAGTCCATACACAGTCCCTGGTAGGCCTCTGTGTCAATTCCCACTTCGCATGTGGGTGGCAGAACCTGGGCCTGCCTGCTATTCCAGGTCCCACCCCAGGGACCAAACAATCTACACAGGTCTCAACCCTCACCACTCTTTTCCAGGGCTGCTTGGGCTGCGTTCCACATGTTTACTTCCCCAAAACTCCTCTGGGTAAACCTCTTTCATCATAGAGGGGATCCCAGGGATTTTCTTCACCCCTGCATGCTGCCTACACGCCTCTCTGTACAACTGCAGACTCCCTCCCTGTGGCCCCCTCATGTTCTCACCTTTCTGGCTGTATACAAGCTGGCTTGCCCCTGCCGTCCTGGGCTTCATCACCAATTCAGTCTCCACCTTTCCCTCAGGTGCGGCCTGTAAGGTTAATTGGCCCCTTTGGAGTCACCTTAACCACTTCAGGGCTGGTGTAGAGTCAAAACATAATTTCATATACCAGGCATGTTGAGATGCTTTCGTCACTTCAGAGATGCTATTTTGGGCCACCCCAGTGATATAACATGTAACAACCTTGAAGTCTAGGGGATGGGAGAATACTATACATTGTCATGTGAATCACACCTTATGTGTGTTGAAAAGTCTAAAGGTTTTTATAAACACACTGAAAAATTCATAGTTGGTCTATAAACATCAGTATATAAAGGTAACAAAAACAGAGTAGAGATCTAATTTTCCCTCAAGGTCAGGTTTATTAAGTGTAAATAAATCTCAGAAAATTTCTGTCTTGAGACTGCAAAAGTAAGCAGTGCTAAATCTTAAATACTTTCTGCAGGGTTAACATAATGTGTGTAAATATTGAGTTAAAGGTTTCATGGCTTGTTTTCTACATAGTGAAAACTTCCTCTCAGGCTTTAGGTTTTCCCTCATTTCTTTCATATAAAATAGGAGAAGGCTAAAAAACTGCTGATCAAATCTTTTTACATTCATTATCATGAGGCAATTTAAGTGGATACAGAAGGGTGTTGGGGGGATGTGTGTGTTTCTTTTCCAAGACTGAAATGTTGTGCAGGAGACTGATGTTGTTGTTGCATTTGGAATGGGGCCAAAACAATAATAAATACTATAAAAAAGATGTCATCCAAATTAAATCCTGTATGATCAAGTGAAACTGGAGAGGTTGCAAATAAAATTCAAAGTTGCACACACACGATATCTAGAAAGTTAAGGAAATGGCTTGGAAAACACATTATATTACAACTCTATGCCCGGAGAAGCTTTGCTGCAGACTCTGCAGTGTACAGCTAAACTGTATATACTGCAGAGCCCGCAGTGCAGGTAACTGTGCAATGGCTGGGATTTTCAGAAGTTGCACAGTTACCTTATTACACAATTTTTAACATCCCTAAGCAGAACTGACACTGTAACATTGGGCAGGAGAGGTGTCTTCTAATAACGATGAGCTTTATCTGCAGGCGCTACCTTGAAGGCCTCTGCCACACAGTACATGAAGCCTGCTTACAAGGTTTCTTGACATATGGCAACAGCTTTAGCTACTGACACTTTGCTTATGGTAATGAGCTGAATAATTGTCTTAATTACTCTCTTACAATATGTAGTTCCTTAATTTTTGTCAGATGCCCCAAATTATATTAATGAAATTGTTATGGCTGTGCAGCTGGACTCCAAAAAGGACAATAAATACCAAAGTTTAGATTCCAAGAGCAGTGCTAACTTGGCTGTGTTGCACGTCACACGTATAATGGATCACAGTGTGTGGCAGAAATAGTATTACACTTTATCCAGAAACAAAGGCATAGAAGATACCTATGGCAATGGGCCAAGTTTAATGATGCTGTTGGAACCTGAACTTCAGCATTTTCTGACCTTTTTTCTTTTTGTGACTATACCTGCAAAATCTTACGATTATACTAATGTGTCTGATTTGCATTTATATGGCATTTACAACCAAAGTTTACTTAACACAGTCATCAGGCATTTAATTTGATTGCTTTTTAAAAAAGAGAGACAAGGACTTACCTGCGGCTATCTGTAGTGGTATGATAGCTGAGTTTTTCTCACCAGCAGAAGTTGGTCCAATAAAAGGTATTATCTCCCCTAGTGTGGCTGTCTAATTAGCTGTGGTTAGAATTTGCCAGATCCAATTCTTTTTCAAAGTGCATTCTTCCATGGAAGTAGGCTGTGTTCCCATCATTGCTATTGATTGTATTTGGCTGGAGAAGGTGTTACGCTGGCAGACCCTGATCATCTGCGGGTGGAATGGAACCTGGGACCTCAGGGCTTGAGCCTCTTCCACATGAACTAAAAGCAAGCAACCGCTCAGTTAAGGCTGTAGAGCAGACTCGTTCTTCTCTCTGTAAATGGTCTCAGTGCCATTAGAGGGGACAGTGCACCACACTCTGTAGGTGTGTGAGTTACAAAAGTATGCTACCAGTTTACATTATCACGACTGTTTCGTTGCTACATAAAATGAGAGAAACTAAGCACTTGATCTCGAGGTTGTTACTCACTGAGGAGCCGTTACTCCAAGGAATTGTTCTACTGAAGAGTTTATTCATATGTATTCACCAAATAGTTTGGACAAATTTTTTTCAGCTATCTGTTCTTTGTAGTTAGTGAACAGCCAGCTCTCAAGATGTTGCTTTTGTTCTCTCTTTGGATAAATAACACTGTTAAAACCAGACATTTAATGCAAGCAAATGTTTTTTTAAACTCTTCTGGTATGTATTTTTAGACAAATAATCATTAATACAATAATCTGAGAGAGTTTCACAGACATGGTACATCTGAATAATCACATGACAACAAAATAACAGTGACCTGAATGCAGCAGTTGTATTTATAAAGGCCCTAATTCAAGACAGAAATCAAGCACATGCTTGTGTAGTCCTAGAAACGGGATGGAATCAAGCATTTAATCTGGTGATTTTTTAAATAAGGAACTAAAATATTTGTGAGTCAGTTATTTGTCCAACTCCGCTTGGGGATAATTTAACATTGTGAATGAATCAGACACCCTATGTTGTTCTAACTTTGTCCACATATAAGGATTCTTTATAGCCTGCTCAAGCATCTGGTTAGAGGTTTACTTGCCCATATTTATAAGATAGAATCTTAGCAAAATAACGTATGTTATATTGGGCTGGAAGAGACCTTAAAAAAGTCTTGAGGTCCAGCCATGTCATCCTGGAACCATCGATCTGGCCACTGTACTGCTCACATGACATAAGTATTATCCATCTGGACATTTGAAACATGGTTATGAGTGTAATGACTTTTGTCTCCATTATGTATCCATCACTGCATGCATTGAAACACCTATTACTTTGGCCAGTGATTCATTTTAGGAGTTAAGAAAATATGGGTGGTGTTTGGTCTGGTTAAGTGAAAAAGTATGTTCTCCAGCAGGGAAAGTGAGGAGCACAATCTAGAGGAGACATATGTTGATTTTCATGCAACCTTAGTTCAGCATCACATAGGTACCCAACTGATAAATACATCTGTGCTGAGCAAAATAACACTTTACCTTTCTGTATCCCTTCCATCCAAGCCTCTTTCCGACAGAAATTAATTTAGCCTCAGACCTCTACCTATGAGATAGATGAGAATAAGTTTTGCAAATAGATAAATGTAAGGGCATGTCTACACTAGGAAAATATTTCAAAATAACTTATTTCAAAATCATAACTCCTAAAATAACTATTTTAAAATAGCTTGTCCCTATTACAGGGAAGCCTCAAAATTAGAAGGAGGCAGGCTCCCTTAATGTGGACGCACTACCTTGAAGCACTGGGGAGTAATTACTTTGAACGACTCTAGGGAGCAGTTATTTCAAAACAGTAACAGTGGAGCATCCACACTACCACTTATTTATTTCAAAGTAAGTGTTATTCTTCATAAAAAGAAGGATTTATTATTTTGAAATAACCTGCCTCTTATTTCAAAATAATGGACTTGGTAGTGTGGACGTACCACTTGTTAGTTCAAAATAATGGAAGTTATTTCAAAATAACTCCCTAATGTAGACCAGGGCTAAGTGACTTGCTCAGGGTCACACACGGAAGCTGAATCAGAGCTAGGATTAGAGTCCTGGTGTTCAGTCATATGCAGTGGGCACCGGTCCTTCTCTCAGTAAATGGTCATCCATGTGCTCAACCAAAGCCCACACTGACAAGCCAGTCATACCTTGCCCATTCAGAAGCATTTAAACTTCCTCTGAAATATTCAATTCCCCTCTACATTGTGTTTAACTTTTCTAGAAGAATTCATGTTCCCAGAATGAGCTGGATTGACACAGCTAAAGGATGAAATCCACCACTTAGCAACATAATGAGCAGACAAGGGCAAGTCTCACCAAATCTTTAGGGTTATCCAAATGGTTACTTGAAAGCCAGAGAATCTAGTTAGCTTAAAGGAGAACATAAAACCTGCCAGATGCATTAGAAATCATGTTCTAAGGAGTATGAGGTTTACTTGATTTAAATATTTGATTTAAATTCTGCCTTCTTGGATAAATACAAAATCGAGCAATGGTCTGAGCTACTGTTCGTTCCAGGCTCTGAACATCCTAAAAAGCCCATAGATGTTCTTCCTTCAGGCAGTCAGCTCAATACATTAAAGAGAGGGGACCAGCCCTGGAGTTCTCTGTGGTGGTGTCTACACTGGCATGAATTTCCAGAAATGCTTAAAACAGAATAGTTTTCGTTATAAGTATTTCCGGAAAAAGAGCGTCTACATTGGCAGGCTGCTTTTCCGGAAAAAGGGCTTTTCCGGAAAAGCCCTTTTTCCGGAAAAGCACGTCTACATTGGCCACAGATGCTTTTCCCGAAAAAAGGCTTTTCCGGAAAAGAGCCCCAATCGTCATTTTAAAGACTATTGGGCTGGCTACACTGGCCCTTTTCCGGAACAGTGTTCCGGAATAAGGACTTATGCCTGAGCGGGAGCAGCGTAGCTTTTCCGGAATAGCAGCTGATTTTGTACAGTAGAGCGTTGTTTTCCAGAATAAGTGGCCCAGTGTAGACACAGCCATTTAGATTAGGACTCTTAGGGTACATCTTCACAGCAGCATTATTTCGGAATAACTGACATTATTTCGAAATAACAAAACGCATGTCTGCACAGCAAGCCATTATTTCAAAATAATGTTGAGATGGAAGACTTCTTATTCCGACTTCTATAACCCTTCTTTCACAAGCAGTAAGGGAAATTGAAGAAAGAGGGTTCTTCCATCGACTTCCTGCTGTGTAGATAGCACCAAAAGCCGAATTAAACTTTTTCAACTTCAGCTACGCAACTGACATAGCTGAAGTTGCGTATCTTAATTCTAGTTTTGCCCTGCAGTTTAGACATACCCTTGCAGCTGAGGTTTTGATTTGGACTCTTTTCTTTCTATCTTACTCTCTTCCCCACAAAAAAAGGTAACTGAAACTTTGTGGTGATCTTTACTGTTTGTGTGTCTATGTGTTACTCCTGAAGGAATTTTGCGCCATTGCACACGCAGAGAACTCATGTCCTCTCCAGATTTTTTTTCTCTGTAGAAACTACATTCTGCTGGACAAGCACTGCAGTTATGCCTTTTGCCCACCAGGGGATGCTGTGACACCGGGATAGAAGCTCATCAGCAATAGCAGCCAGCAGCAGAAAGGGTAGAGAGGCTGTGTTCCTCACAGTGACATGCCTGGGGGATCAGGTGAAGAAGCACAGACTATGGGGGACACAGACAGAGCAGGGCACATGGGGCTGCTGGGAGGTCACACACATTGGGCTACAGAAGAGCTAGTGGAGGAAGAGATTGGGGCAGTGGCTGAATGGGAGTGAGGGTGCAGGGACACATGGGGATGGTGGGGGAGAGGGTTCAGAGACATATGGGAAGGGGAAAAGATATCCCTGACTGAATGGAAGAGGCTAAAGGTCAGTCAGGGTCTGCCTGGGGAAGGATCCCCAGTTTTCTAACCATCCTTCTCTCCCCCAACTCCCCACCTGTTCCCTACCTCTCCCACTCACACACAGCAACTTCATTCCCAAGCTTTTTCCTAGCAGTTACTTCCCGCACCCTCAGCTCCTCCATTATAGTGATGTCCCCCAAACTTTTGTCCTGCTTCTGAGGAGTGCAAAACATACATTTTCTTTATTGTAGCTTAGATGAATTTTTACTCAAAGTTCTCTCTATGCCTAATACGGTAACTATTTGTCCAAAAAAATTCCTTACATTTTTTATTTGTTTATTTATTTTTGTTACAGACATGCTTGTTGACAGGTATTTTTACTAAAAGTACTGAAATAATTGAAAGTGATATGATGATACACTAAAAGCTGTGCTATCTGGCACTCTGTAAACTAGTAATTCTGACCTCTCCCAGTACAAATCTTCAGTCTGGTACCTGGGACTAATATACTGCCCAGCACATTACACAATTGCATATTCTGTACTCTACTTTGAGGCAAAAGAGGCAGAAGCCAAGTAAGCAAGTTGACATCAGAGATTTATTCAAAAAAATCACCTTCCACGGTGTGTCATAGGGCCATTACAGATTCAGCCCAATCTCCTACACCAGTGGTTCCCAACGTGGTGCCCGTGGTGCTATTGTGCCCATCAGGGCATTTATGTGCTCCCACTAAATCATCTGGGCCAGCCCTACCCCAAGCACGTGGCATATGTGCAGTGCTGGCCCTGGGCACATGGGCGGCCCCTGCCCTGGGTGTACGGCATATGTGCGGTGCTGGCCCCAGGTGCAGGGCATGTAGGTGACCCCTGCCCGGGCGTGCGGCACATGTGTGGTGCCGGTCCCGGGCATGTGGGCGACCCCACATCCGGGCGCGCGCGCGTGAGTGGCCCTGCCCCATGGCGCCCAGCAGCCCCGAAAGGTTGGGGACCACTGTCCTATACCTTCTATATCTACAGTGATAATTGATGTTGACAAAGATAACCCCAAGACACTGGAAAATCCTGAAGTACCTTCTGAGTCATCAAAAAAAGATTAAATTATGTTCACTACAGTTTTAGTGTTAAGTGTATTTTTAGTGATCTGGGTGTACGCCATACACTGCTCATAGTAATATTTAGTGTCATAAAATAATCTGCTTGCTAGAAAACTTTACCTGCATACACCTATGTGCTTCAAGAAACCAACCACTCTGTATGCTCATTTATACTTTATTCATTTGATTGCATTCTAATTCTTTGAAAATTGGTATTCCGTTGGTAAAGTGTAACCTTCAGATAACCAGAATATTTGATTAACCGGCATCTTCTATTTCCCCAGTATGCTGGATAACAGAGCTTTTACTATATTGTGTTATTTTTGACAAATGAAATATGCAGAATTTTGCGAAAATTTAAAATTTTTGAACAAATTCCTCCCAGAAGAAACAATGTGTGAATGTAGTGGGTTTCCTTAATTTAGGCACAATGATTTAAAAAGAATAACAAATGCAGCCCTAAGTCTCTCTCATGTCCAGTACATTCCACTCAGATAGATTACAAATAGATTCTAGGCCCTGTCCATTTTGTGTGTTCCAGCAATGTTTCTTCACTGACTGACGGCAGTTCTGGAAGAAAAGACATTTATTATTAGAGCTCTGTTTCTCATTATTTCTAATTCCATTTCTTTTTATGGACGAGATTACAACAGTGGGGTCCACATTTACTCCACATTGCTTAGTTTGCTATTGTAACCTTGTGTTATATCCTCGTCTTCGCATATGACAGTTCCGTCATCATATTTCTCAAACACCCCTTATTTCAAGGAGGGACATTAATGTTAGTCCCATTACCTACATTCCACCCAAATTTGTCTCCCCTTCAGTTTTACTGTGGATAATAATTTCTATCAGAAATAAATGAGCATGAGGCTTCAGTTATTAAGATACAGTAAAAACTGTGTTATCTGTCCCTGTACCAACCAGAAAGTCAAGAAAACCCGTATTTCTAATCTTCAGAGAAAATCCAGTTTATAATCCAGTTGGTGTGGGGCCAGCAGGCTCCTTACCTGGCTCAGTGTGGCTCTCTAGAAATGGCGACATGTCCCTGGGAGGCACTCACCTTGGCGGGTTTGGAGTGGTTTGGAGTGTGTGGGAGAAGATGTGGAATGGGAGCTAGGGTATGGGTGAGGAGCAGGCTTTGAGAGGGAGTTTGGGTGCAGGAGCAAGTCTTGGGGTGTCACCTCGTCAGGCTCCCTTCAGGTGGAGATCTGTCCTGGCTGCTGCTAGGTAGAGGCATGGCAGGCAACTTTGCATGCTGCTTTCACATGCAGGTGCTGCCCCCACAGCTCCCAAGCACTGTGGTTCCCTGCCAATGAGAGCTGCAGAGCCAGCACTCATGGCAAGGCAGGGGCAGCCCTCGGAGCTGCCTGCCACACCTCCATCTAGGAGGAATAGAGACAGGTCACCCGAGGTGAGTGCCCCCCAAGGTGAGTGCCTCCCAGATCCAGCATCCCAAGTCCCTTTGTGTATCCCATCCCGCTTCTTGAGTCCCCTCCAACACTCGAACTTCCTTCCAAAGCCCATGCCCTGTACCCCCTTCTGCATCCCTACCTCTTCCCTCTCATTTAACCAGCATTTTTTACTTACCGGCACCACCACCACCACCACC